GGCGCCGAGCCTGTTTGCTTGTTTTTACTTTGCAATTCCGTTTTATAAGGCTCACTCCTGTGGCTAAGAACCGCGGCCTTGGGAATCCTCAGCCCCACGGCCTCCTCTGTCTTAACTGCTCTGCTAGGAGCCCCGCCCCAACACAGTAGGGAGGAGACTTAGAACCGGACGTCGACCTTTGGGTCACATTAACGTGCGCGAATCCGGAAGTGACGCCCAGGAAGAGGAAGTGAAGCGGACCGGGCACCCATGTGGGTTCTGAGCATGTTTCTGCGTCTCTGGAAGCCGGTCTTGTGAACTCATTTGAAGCCACCGCGTAGTCAACATGGGTCGCACGGGGAAGTTGCCCTCCGGTGTCTCGGCCAAGGTGAAGCGCTGGAAGAAGGGCCACAGCAGCGACAGCAACCCGGCCATCTGCCGCCACCGCCAGGCCGCCCGCAGCCGCTTCTTCAGCCGGCCCTCAGGTAAGAGGGTGGAGACCCGAGGGCTCCGACGGCGGGGTTCTGGGCAGGCCTCTGTCCGGACGGATCAGGGACCTCTGGAAAGTCCAGGACCCCTGGACCCTTCATCTCCTAAAATGTCGAACCCACATGGGTGCCCGGTCTGCTTCACTTCCAGTACCCACTATGAAGGTCCATCCTTCTCATTTGACAGATGCGGGCACTGAGGTCCACAAGTAGAGTATTACGGGTGTCAGAGCTGGGACTAGTGGCTACAGTTAACCTTGGGCAGCTCTTTACAGACTGCTTCTACCTCCATTTATTTCCTAGAACCTATGAGTTTAGCTCCCACCCCACTTCTACCAGTGCTGATGCCATTGGTATAGGGAAGTAGAAATTTTTATATGGATCATTCCTCTCTTCCTTGACTGTCTTAAATTTCAGGCGGCATACAGTGGGCTTAGGAGGCAGGCCAAAGTCAGCATTTAGCTTCTTGTGTGGGGATCTGGACTGGACTGCTTTGTTTTCCCCAAAGGTTCTTACGTTCTCTTGGGTGAAAGGAGGTTTGGGTAGAAGTGGGGACCTAACCCTGTGCCTCTGGTTCTCAGAAAAGAGTGACCTGACAGTAGACGCTGTGAAGTTACATAATGAGCTGCAGTCAGGGTCCCTGCACCTGAGCAAAAGTGAAGCCCCTGAGATGGCCATGGAAGAAGAAGAAGGAGTGGATGCGGCTCTCAGTGAGAGGTCTTCAGGTACCTTCCTGAGTGGCCTGTCTGACTGCACGAATGTCACCTTCAGCAAAGTACAACGCTTCTGGGAATCTAATTCAGCTGCCCATAAGGAGGTAAGGGGGAGGGTCTGGGTGAGTGGAGATAATAAGAAAGAACCAGGCATGTGCCTTTTATTTTCTTCTGGCTCTGGCTGACAGGTGACAGCAGCTGCTATTTCTGGACAATGTGTCATCTCCTATCCTTGTGTCCTCTTCTAGGGCAGGGTCCAGTTTCCCTTTTTAGGTTCCATCTCCCCTGCTGAAGTGTAAAGTCTTTGAGGGTAGAAAAGTCTTGTAAACATTTAGTACTTCTCACACAAAGCATTCTCTTCTTTTTCTTTTTTTTGAGACACAATCTCACTATGGTAGAGTGACGTGGCATCACAGCTCACAGCAACCTCCAACTCTTGGGCTTAAGCGATTCTCTTGCTTCAGCCTCCCAAGTAGCTGGGCTACAGGCACCCATGACAACGCCCAGCTATTTTTTAGTTGTAGTTGTCATTGTTGCTTGGCTGGCCCACACTCAATTCAAGCCCGCCAGCTTTGTATATGTTGCTGGCGCCCTAGCTGCTGAGCTACAGGCACCAAAACTTCTTTCTTTCTTTTTTTTTTTTTTTTTCAAGACATAGTATAACACAGTCACACTGGGCAGAGTACTATGGTATAATAGCTCACAGCAACCTCAAACTCTTGAGTTCAAGTGATCCTCCTGCCTCAGCCTTCCTTAGCGGGGACTACAGGCACCCACCACAATACCCAGCTAATTTTTCTATATTTATTTATTTATTTGAGACAGAGTCTTACTTTGTTGCCCTCAGTAGAGTGCTGTGGCGTCACAGCTCACAGCAACCTCCAACTCCTGGGCTTAGGCAATTCTCTTGCCTTAGGCTCTTGAGTAG